ATATCGGTCATTTTATATCAAAAATTGGGGAAATGACGTTTTGCGCAAAAAAAAGTGAAAGGTAAGGACATTCTGTGCGAAAAAACGAAAGGTTGAGACGTTTTTCACAAAAAAAGGCAAATGTAGGAACGTTTTGCGCTGATTATCCTAAAATAATATTATACAAAATAAAATAATATTATAATCTTTTTAACCGCATATTCTTAAAAAAAAAAATCACTATTTCAAAATATATTTTTCCCCAAAAACAAATCACAACTGAGCCTGCTTGCAGCTACAAAAATAACTTTCGACCCAAGAAAAATCACTGTCTGTTAATATACACATTAGTTATTAATGATTATAGTTAGTTGTTCAATTCATCATATTAATTATACTAATTAAATTAATCATATTACTCCCTAAAATCTCATGAAATAAAAGTTAATTTTATTGGTTGCCTTGATTATGCAATCATTAATTTTGTGTTTTGATTGTTAGCAGGTTGATTGGGTATCAAGGTGGAAATTTGTTGGGTTTTAATGAATTTCGAGCTATGATGTAAGTGTTTGATTGAATTTCATCGGCATTGGCTTATAAATTAAATTGTTACTAACAATTAAGTCTAAAAGCTCAATCCCTAAACAACGTGGGCCATCGGAAATAACTTAAAGAATTAATATTTCTCACGACATATATATATTAGAAAAATGTTATGTGTACACCTCATGGTGTACACACGGCTTTACACCCCCCTCACATGGAGGGGGACCCACGAATATTTTATTGTGTGTGAGCCCCCTCCAAGTGAGGGGAGAGTAAAGCCGTATGTACATCATTATGTACACGTAGCATCTCTCTATATATTTACTCTTGGATGGCTCTGAATGTTGAACAATTCAACCATTTATTGGTCCAACTAAAGTCCAACTTAACAATATATATATATATATAAATGATCTAATGAGTTGGCACATTAATTCATTGGTGGATTGGAACTCACAAAATCTTTATCCACCAATGAATTAATGTGCCAACTCATCGGTGTTTAGGATAAGATGAGCACCGGTGCTCATTAGATCATTTCTGTATATATA